GATACCTATTACGATAATTCCACGTTACAGGTACCATCCTCGGAGTTTAGTATTAGGGAATTACGAGGTCTTGACAAGGCAATGCGAACAATGCGGGGAGAACCCATGAATAATATGGCCAAGATATCCGAAATCGACAAGCATATAGATTACGAGAAAACAAAACTTGAACAGGCGGGCGATGAGTTCAGTAGACGCCGCGTAGCGGAAAGATTATGTAACTTAGAAGACGAAAGATCGGCCCGCCTCGAAGCAAGCTTCCAGTAATAGAAAGGCACTTCGTTCGAAAATCAGTCGAATTCGAGAAACTATCGATCAAGTCCTCAACGATGACACTACACTGGCCGATAAAATTAAAACATTGTTCAGAGAACAGGGAATAACAATTGCCAGTATTTTAACTGTGTTGGGATTTATTATATCGACTTTGACTCTCGCGTTAACCGGTGGCACAGGTGGTGGCGGATCACCCCCTACGTCGGATGGTATAAAAGAGTGGATAAAAAAGCATTTAAAAGCATTAGGTTCAGCACTGGGAAAGCTCGCTGAAAAAGCCGCGGCCGCACTTCCCGGTATAATAGGGAGTGTTGTTTCCTGGCTCTTGAATTTATTAGCTAAAACCACCACTTGGCTTTGTCAAAACTTGTGGGCACTGATTGTAGCAATTGCAGGGCTGTTGTACGTATCCGCTAAGAACTATTTAACCAAATCAGTTCGCTAAGAACTATTTAACCAAATCAGTTCGCTAAGAACTATTTATCCAAATCAGTTCGCTAACCAAATCATGAGTTAACCAACTGCGACTCCACCTAATACAAGCGCTGTTTTCTCATCCATATGTTTTTGATTTTTAGCCTCAATATGTGGTGGAACTTGTGTTTGTGCTTTAGTAGATGGTTGAGCGATAGTTGGTGTTTGCGGCTTGACTATTCCCTTTTCGCCCGTGATTGTTTGCGTTATTAATTCGACGTTAATATCTGAATTTATACCTGTTTTTTGTTGATCGGTAGCGATAACAATTTTATTATTATAGCCTATCACTTGACCGATCTTAAGTTCCATATTACTCGGAGACATGTATAGTCCCGGCGCATAAACGTAGTCCACTTTGGATTGAGCGTACTGTAAAACATCTTGAAAACGCTTTATAGACGATGGTATGTCAACTGGTGAATTAATGGCGTCCTCCATGTTTGCGACAAACTGTTTTTGCGCATCGAACGCCGTCCCAGTACCGATAATGGACGTTCGTGTTTGCGATTGTGCACCGAGAATTGCCCATACATAAGTTCTTATCGATTCATTAAATCTTACAAATCCTGGGTTAGTAAAATTATTTTCCGTTTTATCATTAAGAAATTCATTCCAAGCGTTATCGTTCAGTTGTACAAATTTTTTAACAATATAAATAGACAAACTCTTAAAACTCATAATATCCCCTCTCCAATCGTTACTATAAAGTTCCCAGCCTTTATACCAATGACTGGTTTTATGCCAATGATCATATATTCTTGAGTAAAGTTTGCTGGCCTGCCGCAACTTATAAAAAATAAGACCAGGTTTATGAAGTTCTCTATATACATAATCGCTTTCTTCTTTGAGGGTTGTTATTTCATCTGCGTACGGCACACCTAGACCATGGTTTGCTCCTTTAATACGCCAATCTTTACTCGTAGAAACATTAAATTCCTGACAAATACGCTCATACGCAGACCTATCATAATTATTATTTGTGGAATTCCACGCTCGATCCTGCGGTAATGGAGCACTAATTTCTTTAAGTATACGTCTAATCTGATAGTACACGTGAAATCATATAACAGACTTATTTAGCATAAATCCTGGGGAATTAACAGATACGCCACATCCCGTTGTGGCACACCATACGGCAAAGATAACTTATTCTGCCAAAATTGCATAGGATTATGAAACCAATCGTGCACCATTTTATCGCTAGTTGCCATGACCCTGTACTTTTCAAAGATATCAGGGAATTTAACGAAAAAATCAGTACCATAGGAATTTACCATAATCGATAGATTAGTAATGTGTCTCGATTTCATATTTAAGTTATGATAAAGTATCATTGTATATTTAATATGTATGTTACACTCCCTGGAATAACAAATGGTCAGTCTATTCAACTGCTTCATACTATCGATAACTCGGATGGACAACTCGAAGTTGCTATCTGCGACGTAACGTATTACCCGCTGTGGACCAATATAAGTGCTGCGAAAAGAAATAATGAGATATGGATATTAGGTGATAATGGTATTATTGAAAAAATCATTATTATACCTGATGGGTATTACAGCGTATGCTCACTCAATGATGAAATTTTTAAGCCTAATGGAATTAGTCTAACACAAAATGAGTCGAATGGAATGTTGAAATTCGACACTGGACAAAAAGGTGTACGGATTGTAGGGAAATTATCAGTTACACTTGGATTTACTACAGAAGCAATTTTAGTAATGACCAGGTCAACATTTGATGGAAAGACATTGTCCGATTTAGTTCCCTATAAAGAGTTGTTCATCCATCTTGATCAAATAAGCACGACGGATAATATTCTACTAGAAAGTCCTTCAACTCTGCTCAGATCTATTCCAGTGAAAAATGAAAAATACAATAGCGGTAGAACGGAATCTTTCTCGTTATTACAATATAAAAAATTAAAGCGTGGTATTATTTCAGACCTTAAAATTTCTGTATTAGATGTAAAACACCAACCTGTACATATAGGATACTTAAGTGTAACACACCATATTATAAATAATGGTTGATGCATCAGGCCCTGGAACACTCAGAAAATGTAATACAATTGCGCTTTCCGATCTCGGAGACACAGAAGGATTCGGTAAACCCGGTACCAATGGTAAGTTATACGCTTTACACTTACACGATAATGTATACAAGCGGAAAGAAGTTACATTCACAGGTAATCTAGAAGATTTAAGCGATGTCGACGTTAGTAGACTCCTTAAAAACACTTCGTACAATATTATTTGCAACGACGATAATAAATGGACTATGGTCGACGCAAACATCGAGTGGCTACTGAATATCGTCATTACCCCACCTTATGCGATGTTGGGTAAGGACCATAATTTAACTAAGATAATAAATAGTGGCATCGTACTCACGGCTTATATCCCATCAAAACGAAAAAGTGTGTTAGTTACCCCCCTGCCAGAAAACCCAGGTCATATGTTATATAGTCGTCCGGCCTTAAAAAATGTTACTTTAAATTTGGTTACTGAATTCGAAGATATTAAACAGAACTTGAGTGCAATACCTAATATTTCTACTCTTATTATTGAAGTCTTGTTCGGAGATGTACCGGAAGATACCTTCGAAATATTACCAGGTCTATCGATTAAATGGCTCAAGAAACACGAGCGTCAACGTTGCAGTATTATTCATATCGGAGCATCGCCCGTTGCAACCCTCGAGGGGGTCCAAATTATTAAAAGTGGTAGTATTTCTCTTACTAAGATATTCTTGCCGTATAATATACATTTGATAAGGTTGATGTATAGTCTCAAAACATTTAAGCAAGACCAATTAAAGACTATTATATGATTGTAATATACACTATGGGTTTATATCCAGCGCTCGATGAAGCAATTGAAAAGATGGAAACTGTTGATGGATTTCGATTACATCAAATAAGCGACATAAAACATCGAATAGAGAAGGATAGTGAGTTGAGACTTGGATTATATAAAAAGTATCGCAGAGCCGTGAATGCTCTCGACGGAGTTGACACCGCGCTTGTAGCAGCTGGCATGGGACTCGGTGTAGCAGGTGTTGGTTTACTATCAACTATAATCGCCGCGCCTATCGTGCTCGGCATGGAAATAGCCGCTGGAGTCTCGGGACTTGCAGGAATAGCGATAAAATTCATTTCTCGTAGGTTACAAAAGAAAGCATTAAAACACGATAATATTCGGATACTCGCCGAAGCAAAGTTGAACAGCATTGAGGATCATATTTCGACAGCAATGGTCGATTGTAAGATATCCGAGGATGAGTTTCGTTTAGTGCTGTCGGAACTCACCAAATACAATGAAATGAAGCAGGAGATTCGATCAAAATCTCATAAGACCAGTGGTATTAGCGAAGACGAGAAAAAAAAGTTCATAGAACAGGGGAGGCAACAAGCGCGTCAATTATTCCGTGCCAAAACCAAAGAACTGGTTGGAGATTAAAAATAGATTGCTTACTATCGTTTGATCACATTTAGACAAATGCTTACATACATATATATAATAATGGAGATCGAAAAAGCTATTAAATGGAGAGAATTACCACAAGGTTTTTATTATATCAGTGATGTCAAACCAACCAAATACGGTTATCAATTGTTTCTTATCAATTTACAAGAAGAGTGTAGTTATTTAGTCTGGTCTCCTAGTAAAATGAATGAAGAACTTAATAAAAATGTTGAATATCGCTTTATCGATAAAAATAATGAAGAATATTTTTATTACCATTTAGGCTCATCTAAAGCAATGATTGGCCCCAGGTATTGGTGAGCTAGACCCAATTTAACTTAATCTCATGACTATCATTGAATCGCATAATCATTTTGGCATAAAAAATGCCACCTGTAGTAGCGGTATAGGTATATAAATCCAGCTCCAGTGGAAGTGGTCCAGAACCCCTATTACCTATACTACTACAGCAATTCCTTACTGTCCAGTCACATATCCTTGGCAATCATGGAATTGCTGCTGGTGAAAATCTGTCCTTATACACGATTGTTGCAAATGATATAGCAGTATGAACCAGTCCCCCCCCATCTATCTATGTGCAATGCTATACATTTGAATGTACAAGTATTAGAAATCCTTGTGATGATTTGGGACTGATATATCCCCCCTCATCGATTAATAGATGGGCTCAGGATAAGTCCACCCACAATGAAATTCCTTCCTACAGGCGTGACCTGCATTGTTTCCATGTACCTTGGGCAATGATTTAACACATGATCAAAAGAACCATTTTGTTTTATTCAGTTGTAGAGTGTAAATAGCCTGCATACATCATGTACATACAAAAGAATAAATAATAAAATAATCACACATTAACAATCATAAGACAATTATGCAATGTAGTCATTCCAGCAAGCATACACTATATATACACAACAGGTAGGCTCAGATTGAAGAAAAGATTCATCACTGGCTAACTAATCCACACCAAGAGCACACAGTAATTTCAGAATCAAGGGAATGTATATTTAAGTAAAAACCTCAGATCAAACACATCAATTTAATTCTCCCTCAAATGTTTAGTCAGCAACAGGCCTGAAAACTATATGCAAACCTTAATCTTGTGGAAACAAGCATCATTTGGCACTGTGTTCTGGGTGTTATTGTGAGGTCATGTGCATATTGTAGTGTCGTCTATTGAAGTGTTTGTGTTGTCGTGTATTGTAGTGTCATGTATTGTGGTGCCGTGTATTGTAGTGTCATGTATTGTGGTGTTGTGTATTGTAGTGTCATGTATTGTGGTGTTGTGTATTGTAGTGTCATGTATTGTGGTGTCGTGTATTGTAGTGTCATGTATTGTGGTGCCAAGTATTGTAGTGTCATGTATTGTGGTGCCGTGTATTGTAGTGTCATGTATTACGGTGTTGTGTATTGTAGTGTCATGTATTGTGGTGCCGTGTATTGTAGTGTCATGTATTGTGATGTCGTGTATTGTAGTGTCATGTATTGTGGTGTTGGGTGTATCATGTCATGTGCAAGTGACATCTATATGTTGGGGTGTCATGTATTGTAGTGTCATGTATTGTGGTGTCGTGTATTGTAGTGTCATGTATTGTGGTGTTGGGTGTAAGTTGTGATCAATGCTTCAAGGGGACACAAGCAATGGAACTAACTGACTACAACCTATAAGTGGGGTAATTAACTAATCTGGAATATAGTATATAAATGTTCACATACATATGTTATATTCAATAAAATTCTGTTTACTTCTTACCAAACGTGGATGACAAATGTTACCACTATCACACATTCATGTACCTCTATGAATGCAAACTTCTATTTCTTGTGTTTCCCCATAAGGCCAACTGTGATTGTCTACACTAACCACCCAGTTATACCATGTTATACTGAGGCTGATATGTAACATACAGGTGTACGTGGTAGTAACAATGACAGCAGACCAGGGCATAGGCTCCCTATGATATAACACCTTCATATGAATGTATACATTAGTCTGTGAACAGTACATCTTCCTGTCCCTCATCAAACATATAGCCTATCAACAACAATCTACACTTAAATGTCACAATACTGAAACACTGGGGGACAGTACATATAATATTACTGTGTATGAAGTGTATAAAAATCAGTTGTACCTCGATATCATACATATCAAAATATGCAGTTTACAACATAATACATGCCTCAACATTGCAACATAGTTACCGGTACTCATATTTCAAATATCAGGTCAATTCTAGAAATACTGATACTCTTGTTCAAACTTTTCATATTGATACAAGAATAGAAATCTAAATGAACCTACTGATACCCTGAAAAAAACTTAGTGTGCCACATCTCATTACACTTCCATATGCACCAAATCTTACAAATGTCTTTGAAATATCAAGTGTGACATAATAGGCTCACGAACAGGGTGTATGGATACTGGGGTGAATCGTAGCATGGCATTACGAACAGGGTGTATTGATACTGGGGTGAATTGTAGCATGGCATTACAAACAGTGTGTATTGATACTGGGGTGAATCGTAGCATGGCATTACGAACAGGGTGTATGGATACTGGGGTGAATCGTAGCATGGCATTACGAACAGTGTGTACTGATACTGGGGTGAATCGTAGCATGGCATTACGAACAGGGTGTATTGATACTAGGGTGAATCAGAGAATGGCCTTATGGATACTGGACTAAATCATAATATGGCCTCAAGTACTGGGTGTATCAATACTGGGATGAACTGTAGGATAGCCTCAAGTACTGGGTGTATGGTGATGAATTGTGACACCTAGTAAACATGTGTCAGGACACTGTTCATCCCTTCAACAAATCCAAGAAAACAGGAACAATGATGTAAGTTTGGAACTTTAACAGTATGGTCCAATATAGAAAAAACAACCAACTATACCAGAACATCTCGGTATGACCCACTTGTAAACAACGTGGCATGCACTACACTCATGTGCTCACATTCATTGTGGAAAAACAGGAAATATAAGATGCCACAGAATAACCAACCACATATGACACACATAAACAGATGCAGTAAAACACAGAAATAGAACATATCAACAATCACCTTTCCAGAAGATCACCCCGACCTAGGTACATAAAGTTGAGTGAAGAGCATAACATCACAATGACAACCTTCTCAATGATGACCCTCCTGATCAAGATACATAGAGTTGACTGAAGAGCAAGACATCACAATGACAACCTTTTCAATGATGACCGGCCTGATCCAGATACATAGAGTTGACTGAAGAGCATGACATCACAATGACAACCTTCTCAATGATGACCCTCCTGATCCAGATACATAGAGTTGACTGAAGAGCAAGACATCACAATGACAACCTTCTCAATGATGACCGGCCTGATCCAGATACATAGAGTTGACTGAAGAGCATGACATCCCAATGACAACCTTCTCAATGATGACCCTCCTGATCCAGATACATAGAGTAGACTGAAGAGCATGACATCACAATGACAACCTTCACAATGATGACCCTCCTGATCCAGATACATAGAGTAGACTGAAGAGCATGACATCACAATGACAACCTTCTCAATGATGACCGGCCTGATCCAGATACATAGAGTAGACTGAAGAGCATGACATCACAATGACAACCTTCTCAATGATGATTGGCCTGATCCAGATACATAGAGTAGACTGAAGAGCATGACATCACAATGACAACCTTCTCAATGATGACTGGCCTGATCCAGATACATAGAGTAGACTGAAGAGCATGACATCACAATGGCAAACTTCACAATGATGACCGGCCTGATCCAGATACATAGAGCTGACTGAAGAGCATGACATCACAATGACAACCTTCTCAATGATGACCGGCCTGATCCAGATACATAGAGTTGACTGAAGAGCATGACATCACAATGACAACCTTCTCAATGATGACCGGCCTGATCCAGATACATAGAGTAGACTGAAGAGCATGACATCACAATGACAACCTTCTCAATGATGATTGGCCTGATCCCGATACATAGAGCTGACTGAAGAGCATGACATCACAATGACAACCTTCTCAATGATGACCAGCCTGATCCAGATACATAGAGTAGACTGAAGAGCATGACATCCCAATGACAACCTTCTCAATGATGACTGGCCTGATCCAGATACATAGAGTAGACTGAAGAGCATGACATCACAATGACAACCTTCACAATGATGACCCTCCTGATCCAGATACATAGAGTAGACTGAAGAGCATGACATCACAATGACAACCTTCTCAATTATGACCGGCCTGATCCAGATACATAGAGTAGACTGAAGAGCATGACATCACAATGACAACCTTCTCAATGATGACCGGCCTGATCCAGATACATAGAGTTGACTGAAGAGCATGACATCACAATGACAACCTTCTCAATGATGACCCTCCTGATCCAGATACATAGTGTTGACTGAAGAGCATGGTCTACCAGTACTCAAGACCGGCAGTACAGCAGAACACAAGGCAAATCTAGCATTTAGGGTTTGGATGGGTAACTCGGTCAGGGTACTCGGTCCGGGTGGGTCCCAAGTAGGACCCGGGTACCCACAGGACTATCCTGACCCTGACCCAATATATACATTGTTTAATGACAATAACAATAAAACTTCATGGTTACAAAAAAAGTCGTTCACATTTCTTTCTTTTCCTTCTAACTTGTATATGAGTAAAGATAAAGCTTCACTCAACTTCAGTGCATGCATGAGATCGCTGTATACATGTATCAAAATAGTTTTTGACAAGACTGCAGAAAAACAATTTCCATTCAGAAATTTTGTACCCAACTGCGGAACACAAGGTTAATCTACCAGTACTCTAGATCTGCTGTACTGCAGAACACAAGGTTAATCTACCAGTACTCCAGATCTACAGTACTGCAGAACACAAGGTTAATCTTCCAGTACTCCAGATCTACAGTACTGCAGAACACAAGGTTAATCTACCAGTACTCCAGATCTGCTGTTCTGCAGAACACAACCTAATTCTCCCAGTACACCAGATCTACTGTACTGCAGAACACAAGGTTAATCTACCAGTACTCCAGATCTACTGTACTGCAGAACACAAGGTTAATCTACCAGTACTCCAGATCTACTGTACTGCAGAATACAAGGTTAATCTACCAGTACTCTAGATCTGCTGTACTGCAGAACACAAGGTTAATCTACCAGTACTCCAGATCTACAGTACTGCAGAACACAAGGTTAATCTTCCAGTACTCCAGATCTACAGTACTGCAGAACACAAGGTTAATCTACCAGTACTCCAGATCTGCTGTTCTGCAGAACACAACGTAATTCTCCCAGTACACCAGATCTACTGTACTGCAGAACACAAGGTTAATCTACCAGTACTCCAGATCTACTGTACTGCAGAACACAAGGTTAATCTACCAGTACTCCAGATCTACTGTACTGCAGAATACAAGGTTAATCTACCAGTACTCCAGATCTGCTGTTCTGCAGAACACAACGTAATTCTCCCAGTACACCAGATCTACTGTACTGAAGAACACAAGGTTAATCTACCAGTACTCCAAATCTACTGTACTGCAGAACACAAGGTTAATCTACCAGTACTCCAGATCTACTGTACTGCAGAATACAAGGTTAATCTACCAGTACTCCAGATCCACTGTACTGGCCACTGTGGAACACAAGGATCATCTACCAGTACTCCAGATCCACTGTACTGGCCACTGTGGAACACAAGGTTCATCTGCCAGTACTCCAGATCCACTGTACTGGCCACTGTGGAACACAAGGTTCATCTGCCAGTACTCCAGATCCACTGTACTGGCCACTGTGGATCACAAGGTTCATCTGCCAGTACTCCAGATCCACTGTACTGGCCACTGTGGAACACAAGGTTCATCTACCAGTACTCCAGATCCACAGTACTGGCCACTGTGGAACACAAGGTTCATCTACCAGTACTCCAGATCAGAATCCCCTTCCTCTGTATCAATGGAATCATCACTGTCGGTGTAATCTTCATCAGATAGGGCTAGGTTAGGCCTGCGTAGCTTGAACCTGGCAAAGTGTACAGCCATCTGATGCAGCAGCAGCTCCACCTCAAAGTTGAGCAATGAGTTTGTTGGCAGTCCCAACAGCTGTACCAGGCTACGCACAACCGTCCTGTTGAGGACCATAGTCACATAGTCACCATACAAGTCTAAGTTCTGCAACTCCTCGGAATCAAAGCTGTTCTGGATGGCCGCAACAGGCAGGATTCGTTGTATACATCTTGTATTAGCTAGAAGACACTGCTGGAATATGACCCTCGCTGCAGCCTGGGAAAGGGTGGAGGTCACGCCCCCAAACATCAGTGGGATGAGGCGTGCTGAGTAGGGGTACAGGTGACTGAACTGGGGGAAGTCTTCCTCTAGGTATTCCTGTAGCTCACCTGCTATCTCTGGCTTGCAGAAGTAACCTGGCAAATACACAGACATCAACTCTCATATCACTTTCAGTAACATAATTCTTCCTTAGACGTATTACTTTTATTACTTTGTTTACAATTTCACAGAAGTGGAATAAATCAGTTTCCTTCCACTAAGCCTGATAACAAATTTCAGAAACAGAAATGTGCCAAAGTTTGCTGATATACAGATTATCGTAAGGGAAATAACTTTATGTAACACTTAAACTTAATTAAAAAGCAACATGTTCATTAAAAAGCAGGGCTATTTTTATGATCAATGTTGTTTTTGCTGATGCAGAATCCAGTAATTTCCTTATCATTTACCAATGACATAAAGTGAACAAAAGCCACTAGATTTCATCCTCCTAATCATCTTTACCTGACAACATAATTTTTGTAGGACATTCTCACAAGAATCATAACAAAATCATAATAAACAGGCATACCGAATAAATCTCATTTCCTATCCATATAAAGCTACACTCCATAACTTCCCCATCCTTTCAGTCTCTTGCATCTTGAATGATATGATAGGCATTACATAGAAGTTGATGGATGACAAAGAAGAGAAACTATAGGATCTGTATTGTTTGATAGGCATTACATAGAAATTAATGGATGACAAAGAAGAGACACTATAGGATCTGTATTGTTTGATAGGCATTACATAGAAGTTGATGGATGACAAAGAAGAGACACTATAGGATCTGTATTGTTTGAAAGGCATTACATAGAAGTTGATGGGTGACAAAGTAGACACACTATAGGATCTGTATTGTTTGATAGGCATTACATAGAAATTGATGGATGACAAAGTAGAGACACTATAGGATCTGTATTGTTTGAAAGGCATTACATAGAAATTGATGGATGACAAAGAAGAGACACTATAGGATCTGTATTGTTTGATAGGCATTACATAGAAGTTGATGGATGACAAAGTAGAGAGACACTATAGGATCTGTATTGTTTGATAGGCATTAAATAGAAGTTGACAGATGACAAAGTAGAAACAATATAGGGTATGTATTGTTTGATAGGCATTACATAGAAGTTGATGGATGACAAAGTAGAGACACTATAGGATCTGTATTGTTTGATAGGCATTACATAGAAGTTGATGGATGACAAAGTAGAGACACTATAGGATCTGTATTGTTTGATAGGCATTACATAGGAGTTGATGGATGACAAAGTAGACACACTATAGGATTTGTATTGTTTGATAGGCATTACATAGAAATTGATGGATGACAAAGTAGAGACACTATAGGATCTGTATTGTTTGATAGGCATTACATAGGAGTTGATGGATGACAAAGTAGAGACACTATAGGATCTGTATTGTTTGATAGGCATTACATAGAAATTGATGGATGACAAAGAAGAGACACTATAGGATCTGTATTGTTTGATAGGCATTACATAGAAATTGATGGTTGACAAAGAAGAGACACTATAGGATCTGTATTGTTTGATAGGCATTACATAGAAGTTGATGGATGACAAAGAAGAGACACTATAGGATCTGTATTGTTTGATAGGCATTACATAGAAATTGATGGATGACAAAGTATAGACACTATAGGATCTGTATTGTTTGATAGGCATTACATAGAAGTTGTTGGATGACAAAGAAGAGACACTATAGGATCTGTATTGTTTGAAAGGCATTACATAGAAGTTGATGGATGACAAAGAAGAGACACTATAGGATCTGTATTGTTTGAAAGGCATTACATAGAAGTTGATGGATGACAAAGTAGAGAGACACTATAGGATCTGTATTGTTTGATAGGCATTAAATAGAAGTTGACAGATGACAAAGTAGAAACAATATAGGGTATGTATTGTTTGATAGGCATTACATAGAAGTTGATGGATGACAAAGAAGAGACACTACAGGATCTGTATTGTTTGAAAGGCATTACATAGAAGTTGATGGATGACAAAGTAGAGACACTATAGGATCTGTATTGTTTGATAGGCATTACATAGAAGTTGATGGATGACAAAGAAGAGACACTATAGGATCTGTATTGTTTGAAAGGCATGAAATAGAAGTTGATGGATGACAAAGTAGAGACACTATAGGATCTGTATTGTTTGAAAGGCATTACATAGAAATTGATGGATGACAAAGAAGAGACACTATAGGATCTATATTGTTTGATAGGCATTACATAGAAGTTGATGGATGACAAAGTAGAGACACTATAGGATCTGTATTGTTTGAAAGGCATTACATAGAAGTTGATGGATGACAAAGTAGACACACTATAGGATCTGTATTGTTTGATAGGCATTACATAGAAATTGATGGATGACAAAGAAGAACCACTATAGGATCTGTATTGTTTGATAGGCATTACATAGAAATTGATGGAAGACACAGAAGAGACACTATAGGATCTGTATTGTTTGATAGGCATTACATAGAAGTTGATGGATGACAAAGAAGAGACACTATAGGATCTGTATTGTTTGAAAGGCATTACATAGAAGTTGATGGATGACAAAGTAGAGAGACACTATAGGATCTGTATTGTTTGATAGGCATTAAATAGAAGTTGACAGATGACAAAGTAGAAACAATATAGGGTATGTATTGTTTGATAGGCATTACATAGAAGTTGATGGATGACAAAGTAGACACAATTTAATGATAAAAAACGTCTTCATGCAAGACTGAACGAGGAACATGGTACAGAAACTTCACGCCCCATCAACAGCAGAATCAAAGAGCACAAAATTTCATCCAACAAATCAGACAGTAAATCAGCCATCTCGGACCAAATCAGCAACTGCCCCATCCACATTTGGGAAAACGTTCAGATCCTCTCCAACAACCTCCATGACTTCATTAAAACAAAACTAACAGAAGCAGTCCACATTCGCTGCCACAAGTCGTCTATCATCCCATCCGCACACTATGAACTCATTAAGCCATATCCTGTTTAATTGGCTTCCTGTCTCATTGGCTTCCACCTTATGTGTTCTCTGTCCATCATGTTGTTACAGTATTATCCTTCTGTTATATATATATATATATATATTTATTCTGTACCTTAACAGGAGAAATGCCACTAAGTCTACGCAGGGAACAGCTAAGCTTAAATTCCTGGGCCGCGTCCCAATCAAACCCTCTCATCCAAAACTTAATAAACCAAAACATCAGCCCCAAAAACCAAGCTCTAGCTCGTAAACACCCCTTACTTACCCCAATATCCCAAAGAATAACAAACTACCTAAATGAACACCAAATTAAAAATCTTAAACAAAACTGCAAACAATCAAATATCTTCACCCCTAAACTTAAAATACCCAAAATAGACACAACACTAGCTAGCCAAATAAATAAACAAACCGACCCAAACATAGCTAAAACTACCACACTAGCATACATACACGAAAATTGGCCAAATTGGTGTCACATTTACACGGACGGATCCTCAGATCCGACCTCCAAACACACAGGTTTCGGAGTCCATACCACACAACCAACTAAAACCACACAATCCTTCCGACTCCCAAACAACCAATCAATATTCACGGCAGAACTAATGGGCATGGCCTCAGCCCTCCATAATCAAGAATCCAAAAACCACCAACAAAAATCCTAATACTTACCGACTCCCTAAGTGGACTGCAAGCCCTCCAAAACAAAAATACCAAAAACCGACCTAAATTAATAAATCAAATACTTAAAAGCTCCAACGACCTAAGGCAGGCAAACAAATAACCTTCTTGTGGATACCCGCCCACGTAGGAATATACGGTAATGAAAACGCCGATAAAGCAGCTAAACTATCCCTCAAAATCCCAGAAATAAGCTTAAACTTACCCATCTCAAAATCAGAAATTAAAAGTGTAAACAAGCAAAAAATCACCAAAAAATGGCATAACCTATATCTAAACTCAAATAGCCAAATCAAAAAAGTGCTCAGCAAACCACTAACCAAACCAAAAATTCTCCATCCATCCAAAAAAATCGACAGAGTAATCACTAAACTCCAAACAGGACACACCAACCTAAATAACCACGTAAAAAAAATTTAAAAACACACTACAGGTAACTGCCCACACTGCAAACAACAAGAAACCCCAGAACACGCATTCATCCACTGCACACACTACCTAACACATCGAAACCGCATTACAAACCACCCTCAATCTAAACAAGGCTCTAACTCTAGAAGCAATACTAAACCCACAAAATAAACTAGAAAACTTCAAGGCCTTAGGCGTATTCTTAATAAAAACGGAACTAATAAAACGCATCTAAAAACACAATAACCTACCAAATCAAAATCACATAAACAAACAAACATCCACCATACCCAGCTCCCTTAGTTCTCCTCCCCAATCCCATCGGCATCTATTCCAAATCTCAAAATTCCCAAATTCTATATAAGCAACCCCTAAAACCCCCCTCTTGGGTTGCACAGACCACTTTCGCCCCTTTCGGAAACACATTAAATGGCCTGGCCGGGCCCGTGTGCGAAATACGCATCAGTCGGAAAGCGCACGTTAAATCTCCAAAGTAAGTAAGTAAGTAAGTATTCTGTACCATGTTCCTCATTCAGATTTGCTTGACAACGGTTTAAGGATCTATACAGAAACGCCGCCTTTACAGTAATTAAAGAAGTTTGTCATCCATAAATTGTGTCTACTTTGTGAATATAGGATCTATACCGAAACGTAACCTTTACAGTAAATAAAGAAGTTGTTATCCATAACAGCTTTGTCTTGCATCTTGGTTACATCTCACATCCAACACAACCAATAAAAGTCCTCAACATGGCCAAGATGTCAAGTTCTAATCTTTAGTGTTTACCAAAAAGGAGTGAAGTGATAGCTCTGAAGTGATACCATTCTTCATCATCAATGAAGACTGTAAGCAAGATTGGTATGACGATTTACAAAGCACCAGACTGACCTTTATCCACTACATGTGCCACCTCCCGGGGCACAGCACCAGTCACCCCTGACCACAGGAAACTGGTGAACAGCGGCGAAACCAATCTGCAAATATTTTTTTTGTTAAATTGTTTCATGCTGATACACCATATTATAGTGAACAATATTTGTGTGCAGATTTCTTTAAAGGAGATACAGAGTCAGGCCTACCTCTTCTTGCGATGTGCCTCCCAGACCGTGCCTCGTATTGAGGGGTCTGCTCCCTCCGACAGCAGGGACAGACTACTTGTCATATCACCACTGGCAAAGAAGTGGAACAGTGCTGTCTGACCATGGTTATTCTGTGCATTCACCTGAAACAACACCACATCCAGATGCGAGATACATTCACCAGAAACAACACCAGGTCTGCTGTATACTGCAGAACACAAGGTTGGTCTACCAGTACTTACTGCAGAACATGAGGTAGGTCTACCAGTACTTACTGCAGAACATGAGGTAGGTCTACCAGTACTTACTGCAGAACATGAGGTAGGTCTACCAGTACTTACTGCAGAACATGAGGTAGGTCTACCAGTACTTACTGGAAGAACATGAGGTAGGTCTACCAGTACTTACTGCAGAACATGAGGTAGGTCTACCAGTACTTACTGCAGAACACAAGGTTGGTCTACCAGTACTTACTGCAGAACACAAGGTTGGTCTACCAGTACTTACTGCAGAACACAAGGTTGGTCTACCAGTACTTACTGCAGAACATGAGGTAGGTCTACCAGTACTTACTGCAGAACACAAGGTTGGTCTACCAGTACTTATTGCAGAACACAAGGTGGGTCTACCAGTACTTATTGCAGAACACAAGGTAGGTCTACCAGTACTTATTGCAGAACACAAGGTAGGTCTACCAGTACTTATTGCAGAACACAAGGTAGGTCTACCAGTACTTACTGCAGAACACAAGGTAGGTCTACCAGTACTTACTGCAGAACACAAGGTAGGTCTACCAGTACTCTAGACCTGCTGATGGTTAGCAACAAGCATGGGTAACTGGAGGTCATGTCCGAGTTGGCCTTCCCTGATGACCGGCAACATGAACTGGGGACTATAGCTGTGGTGTAGGAATCCTGTATGGGTTCAGGGAAAGAAGCCGAGATACACTGACCTGCACGTCCTCCCTGGACAAAAGATAGGTGAGGCATTCTGTCCTGTTGGGGGAGTTGCTGATGTTGCAGGTACTGGGAACATCATCCTCCTCTGTTGGGGGCAGGATGTCTTCATCAGCCGACATGTACATCTGAGACAGGCTTGTATCACACATGGCCAGAAGTGGGGTGTTGCCATGGAGATCTACAGCATTTACATTGGAGCCATTGTCACACAGAAGACGTATAAGCTGAACATCACAGGTCATGATGACTGCGCGGTGTAGAGGTGTGAGTTGGTTCTCATCCAGCAAGTTAGGGTCACCACCATTCCCTAAAACAGACAAGCTTGGATTCCCAAAGGGTGAACTTACAGCGGAATCTCGCTGTCAAAAGTGTTTGATTGGTAAAATATTTGGACCAGGATTTTCAGCTGCTGTATTTTTTTACAACAGCATAGTCTGAGCTCGAGATATTGTTGAAATACATATGATTACATCATAAAAGAGTGTTCGCCTAACACATGTACAATAACACCAGATAACATAGTAACAAATTTCTCAATGTTTTTTGTCTTTTCCATGGTCTGCCTTCCTCCTGCAGAAGTACTAGACACCCTGAATGTATCCTGGTCTGCCTTACCGGGTATGATGGAGGGGTACTAGACACCCTGAATGTACCCTGGTCTGCCTTACTGAGTATGATGGAGGTGTACTAGACACCCTGAATGTACCCTGGTCTGCCTTACCGGGTATGATGGAGGTGTACTAGACACCCTGAATGTACCCTGGTCTGCCTTCCTCCTGCAGAAGTACTAGACACCCTGAATGTACCCTGGTCTGTTTCTCTGAGTATGATGGAGGTGTCCTAGACACCCTGAATGTACCGTGATCTGCCTTACCGGGTATGATGGAGATGTACTAGACACCCTGAATGTACACTGGTCTGTTTCTCTGAGTATGATGGAGGTGTACTAGACACCCTGAATGTACCCTGGTCTGCCTTACTGAGTATGATGGAGGTGTACTAGACACCCTGAATGTACCCTGGTCTGCCTTACCGGGTATGATGGAGATGTACTAGACACCCTGAATGTACCCTGGTCTGCCTCACTGAGTATGATGGAGATGTACTAGACACCCTGAAAGTACCCTGGTCTGCCTTACCGGGTATGATGGAGATGTACTAGACACCCTGAATGTACCCTGGTCTGCCTTACTGAGTATGATGGAGATGTACTAGACACCCTGTATGTACACTGGTTTGCCTTACTGAGTATGATGGAGATGTACTAGACACCCTGAATGTACACTGGTCTGCCTTACTGAGTATGATGGAGATGTACTAGACACCCTGTATGTACACTGGTTTGCCTTACTGAGTATGATGGAGATGTACTAGACACCCTGAATGTACACTGGTCTGCCTTACTGAGTATGATGGAGGTGTACTAGACACCCTGAATGTACCCTGGTCTGCCTTACTGAGTATGATGGAGGTGAACTAGACACCCTGAATGTACCCTGGTTTGCCTTACTGAGTATGATGGAGGTGTACTAGACACCCTGAATGTACCCTGGTCTGCCTTACTGAGTATGATGGGGGTGTACTAGACACCCTGAATGTACCCTGGTCTGTCTTACTGAGTATGATGGAGGTGTACTAAACACCCTGAATGTACCCTGGTTTGCCTTACTGAGTATGATGGAGGTGTACTAAACACCCTGAATGTACACTGGTCTGTTTGTCTGAGTATGATGGAGTTGTAATGGACACACTGAATGTACACTGGTCTGCCTTACTGAGTATGATGGAGATGTACTAGACACCCTGAATGTACCCTGGTCTGCCTTACTGAGTATGATGGAGGTGTACTAGACACCCTGAATGTACCGTGGTCTGTCTTACTGAGTATGAGGGAGGTGTACTAGACACCCTGAATGTACCGTGGTCTGTTTGTCTGAGTATGATGGAGGTGTACTAGACACCCTGAATGTACACCGGTCTGTTTGTCTGAGTATGATGGAGGTGTACTCGACACCCTGAATGGACCCTGATCTGCCTTACTGAGTATGATGGAGGTGTACTAGACACCCTGAATGTACCCTGGTCTGTCTTACTGAGTATGATGGAGGTGTACTAGACACCCTGAATGTACCTTGATCTGTCTTACTGAGTATGATGGAGGTGTACTAGACACCCTGAATGTACCCTGGTCTGCCTTACTAAGCATGATGGAGATGTACTGGACACCCTGAATGTACCCTGGTCTGCCTTACTGAGTATGATGGAGGTGTACTAGACACCCTGAATGTACCCTGGTCTGCCTTACTGAGTATGATGGAGGTGTACTCGACACCCTCAATGTACCGTGGTCTGTCTTACTGAGTATGATGGAGGTGTACTAGACACCCTGAATGTACCCTGGTTTGTCTTACTGAGTATGATGGAGGTGTACTAGACACCCTGAATGTACACTGGTCTGTTTCTCTGAGTATGATGGAGGTGTACTAGACACCCTGAATGTACCCTGGTCTGCCTTACTGAGTATGATGGAGGTGTACTAGACACCCTGAATGTACCCTGGTCTGCCTTACCGGGTATGATGGAGATGTACTAGACACCCTGAATGTACCCTGGTCTGCCTCACTGAGTATGATGGAGATGTACTAGACACCCTGAATGTACCTTGATCTGTCTTACTGAGCATGATGGAGGTGTACTAAACACCCTGAATGTACCCTGGTCTGCCTTACTGAGTATGATGGAGGTGTACTAAACACCCTGAATGTACACTGGTCTGCCTTACTGAGTATGATGGAGGTGAACTAGACACCCTGAATGTACCCTGGTTTGCCTTACTGAGTATGAAGGAGGTGTACTAGACACCCTGAATGTACCCTGGTCTGCCTTACCGGGTATGATGGAGATGTACTAGACACCCTGAATGTACCCTGGTCTGCCTCACTGAGTATGATGGAGATGTACTAGACACCCTGAATGTACCTTGATCTGTCTTACTGAGCATGATGGAGGTGTACTAAACACCCTGAATGTACCCTGGTCTGCCTTACTGAGTATGATGGAGGTGTACTAAACACCCTGAATGTACACTGGTCTGCCTTACTGAGTATGATGGAGGTGAACTAGACACCCTGAATGTACCCTGGTTTGCCTTACTGAGTATGAAGGAGGTGTACTAGACACCCTGAATGTACCCTGGTCTGTCTTACTGAGCATGATGGAGGTGTACTAAACACCCTGAATGTACCCTGGTCTGCCTTACTGAGTATGATGGAGGTGTACTAAACACCCTGAATGTACACTGGTCTGTTTGTCTGAGTATGATGGAGTTGTAATGGACACACTGAATGTACACTGGTCTGCCTTACTGAGTATGATGGAGATGTACTAGACACCCTGAATGTACCCTGGTCTGCCTTACTGAGTATGATGGAGGTGTACTAGACACCCTGAATGTACCGTGGTCTGTCTTACTGAGTATGAGGGAGGTGTACTAGACACCCTGAATGTACCCTGGTCTGTTTGTCTGAGTATGATGGAGGTGTACTAGACACCTTGAATGTACACCGGTCTGTTTGTCTGAGTATGATGGAGGTGTACTCGACACCCTGAATGGACCCTGATCTGCCTTACTGAGTATGATGGAGGTGTACTAGACACCCTGAATGTACCCTGGTCTGTCTTACTGAGTATGATGGAGGTGTACTAGACACCCTGAATGTACCTTGATCTGTCTTACTGAGTATGATGGAGGTGTACTAGACACCCTGAATGTACCCTGGTCTGCCTTACTAAGCATGATGGAGATGTACTGGACACCCTGAATGTACCCTGGTCTGCCTTACTGAGTATGATGGAGGTGTACTAGACACCCTGAATGTACCCTGGTCTGCCTTACTGAGTATGATGGAGGTGTACTCGACACCCTCAATGTACCGTGGTCTGTCTTACTGAGTATGATGGAGGTGTACTAGACACCCTGAATGTACCCTGGTTTGTCTTACTGAGTATGATGGAGGTGTACTAGACACCCTGAATGTACCCTGGTCTGCCTTACTAAGTATGATGGAGGTGTACTTGACACCCTGAATGCACCGTGGTCTGTCTTACTGAGTATGATGGAGGTGTACTAGAGACCCTGAATGTACCCTGGTCTGCCTTACTGAGTATGATGGAGGTGTACTAGACACCCTGAATGTACCCTGGTCTGCCTTACTAAGTATGATGGAGGTGTACTTGACGCCCTGAATGTACCGTGGTCTGTCTTACTGAGTATGATGGAGGTGTACTAGACACCCTGAATGTACCCTGGTCTGTCTTACTGAGTATGAAGGAGGTGTACTAGACACCCTGAATGTACCCTGGTCTGTCTTACTAAGTATGATGGAGGTGTACTAGACACCCTTAATGTACCCTGGTCTGTCTTACTGAGCATGATGGAGGTGTACTAGACACCCTGAATGTACCCTGGTCTGCCTTACTGAGTATGATGGAGGTGTACTAGAGACCCTGAATGTACCCTGGTCTGCCTTACTGAGTATGATGGAGGTGTACTAGACACCCTGAATGTACCCTGGTCTGCCTTACTAAGTATGATGGAGGTGTACTTGACGCCCTGAATGTACCGTGGTCTGTCTTACTGAGTATGATGGAGGTGTACTAGACACCCTGAATGTACCCTGGTCTGTCTTACTGAGTATGAAGGAGGTGTACTAGACACCCTGAATGTACCCTGGTCTGTCTTACTAAGTATGATGGAGGTGTACTAGACACCCTTAATGTACCCTGGTCTGTCTTACTGAGCATGATGGAGGTGTACTAGACACCCTGAATGTACCCTGGTCTGCCTTACTGAGTATGATGGAGGTGTACTAAACACCCTGAATGTACCCTGGTCTGCCTTACTGAGCATGATGGAGGTGTACTAAACACCCTGAATGTACCCTGGTCTGTCTTACTGAGTATGATGGAGGTGTACTCGACACCCTGAATGTACCCTGGTCTGCCTTACTGAGTATGATGGAGATGTACTAGACACCCTGAATGTACACTGGTCTGTCTTACTGAGTATGATGGAGGTGTACTAAACACCATGAATGTACCGTGGTCTGCCTTACTGAGTATGATGGAGGTGTACTAGACACCCTGAATGTACCCTGGTCTGCCTTACTGAGTATGATGAAGATGAGATCCTGCAAGTGGTCAAGGATGTCATCAACTGTGGTCAGGTAGTGCTTCTGTAGGCCCACCACCACATCCACAGCAGGCAAACTGTGATCGTCCTCCTCTTCCCTGTAAAAGTGGACATAACAATCCAAGCTCCATATATACTCCATATTATACTGTATACTACACTCCATGCCCAGCCATCTGTACACCTATCTATATTGGTTTGCTGGCAATTTTATTTAGATGGCTTCTAGAATCACTGCCACAAATAATAGAGTTTGATAATGACAAACATTGTTAACAGGAGAGTGATCATAAAATGTACATGAAACATTATGGCCTTTAATTTTTATTGAGAAATTAATATTTTATTTGCCCTGATATTCATCATACAGTCCTTGAAACCTGAACTAAGAAGGCTTATAAATATAACTTTATGCATCAATATATATCTAAGAATACAGCCTCGTCACAGGTTTATGCATGCATATGACGACAGGGTTAAGCTTGTATATGAGGGATTACAGGGTTGTGCAGCCACAGAAGTACAGGGTTGTGTAGCTACAGGAGTACATGGCTGTGCCACTAGAAGTGTACAGGGTTGTGCAGATACAGGAGTACAGGGTTGTGCAGCTACAGGAGTACAGGGTTGTGCAGCTACAGGAGTACAGGGTTGTGCAGCTACAAGTGTACAGGGTTATGCAGATACAGGAGTACAGGGTTGTGCAGCTACAGGAGTACAGGGTTGTGCAGCTACAGGAGTACAGGGTTGTGCAGCTACAGGAGTACAGGGTTGTACAACTACAGGATCACAGGGCTGTGCAGCTACAGGAGTACAGGGTTGTACAACTACAGGAGTACAGCGCTGTGCAGCTACAGGAGTACAGGGTTGTGCAGATACAGGAGTACAGGGTTGTGCAGCTACAGGAGTACAGGGTTGTGCAGCTACAGGAGTACAGGGTTGTGCAGCTACAGGAGTACATGGCTGTGCCACTAGAAGAGTACAGGTTTATGCAGCTACAGGAGTACAGGGTTGTGCAGCTACAGGAGTACAGGCTTGTGCAGCTACAGGAGTACAGGCTTGTGCAGCTACAGGAGTACAGGGTTGTGCAGCTACAGGAGTACAGCGCTGTGCAGCTACAGGAGTACAGGGTTGTGCAGCTACAGGAGTACAGGGTTGTGCAGCTACAGGAGTACAGGGTTGTGCAGCTACAGGAGTACAGGGTTGTACAACTACAGGAGTACATGGCTGTGCCACTAGAAGAGTACAGGTTTATGCAGCTACAGGAGTACAGGGTTGTGCAGCTACAGGAGTACAGGCTTGTGCAGCTACAGGAGTACAGGCTTGTGCAGCTACAGGAGTACAGGGTTGTGCAGCTACAGGAGTACAGCGCTGTGCAGCTACAGGAGTACAGGGTTGTGCAGCTACAGGAGTACAGGGTTGTGCAGCTACAGGAGTACAGGGTTGTGCAGCTACAGGAGTACAGGGTTGTACAACTACAGGAGTACAGGGCTGTGCAGCTACAGGAGTACAGGCTTGTGCAGCTACAGGAGTACAGGCTTGTGCAGCTACAGGAGTACAGGGTTGTGCAGCTACAGGAGTACAGGGTTGTGCAGCTACAAGTGTACAGGGTTGTGCAGCTACAGGAGTACAGGGTTGTGCAGCTACAGGAGTACAGGGTTGTACAACTACAGGAGTACAGGGTTGTGCAGCTACAGGAGTAAAGGGTTGTGCAGCTACAGGAGTACAGAGTTGTGCAGCTCCAAGTGTACAGGGTTGTGCAGCTACAGGAGTACAGGGTTGTGCAGCTACAGGAGTACAGGGTTGTGCAGCTACAGGAGTACAGGTTTGTGCAGCTACAGGAGTACAGGGTTGTGCAGCTACAAGTGTACAGGGTTGTGCAGCTACAGGACTTGAGCCTCACCACATGTTCCACTGCTGCTTCTGCAGAGCCAAGTCGTTGTAATAATCAATGATGAGGTCCAGGGCAGTCTTCCCCGGGCCCATGTATTCACAACCAAAGTAAGTCTGAAATTACACAATACAGTGGTTCAACTCAATGCAGGAACCAAATAACCCCTTCTTCTTAACTGTCCATGCTCCTGAGAGGAAACCCATCACTTCCAAATATAACAGGATTTGCACAGGAATCTGAAGATTTAAAGGGAAACAACACTCCCACGTTTGAAAGCCTTGTAATATGGATGAGTACTTTCTTCGCAGATTCAAAAGTTGCTTACTATGGACTATTACTTCAACTGGTTCCAGTGTTGTATTATATGGAATTTGACCAAAAAATAAGGTTTGTTGCTGTTGAGTACATTAAATGAAATTTCTTTGTTACAAAACTAATATGTACACATATTTTCTGTATACCAAACTACAGAATTGTACATACATATTTACACACGCAGATGAATTTGCAAGGTGAAGGGTTCTGGTAAGCATCCTCAGTAGAGCATGTAACGTATACACGAGACGGGTCTCATGTACAAGTGACCACCCGAGATGGGGTCACTGGTATGCGTGACTGTCTGTCAGTGGACCATGGATATCTGCATGTTGCACAAAAATGTCTCTACAAGTGTTATTTATGAAAATAGGAAAACAAAATTAAGTAGAGTTATTGATCATTATGCCAGTTATCAAATGACATGAAAAAAATGTCATAAGGAAAATAATAAATGGTCAAATTGGAAGAAAAATGTGAATTTTTTTAGCAAAATGTTCTTTTTTTGACAGCGATTTTTCTATGTACATTTTTTTCAGAAACTTACATGTAGTATATTCTGAAAACTTATTCATCGTAGAGATACAAAATATATGTAATGTTTCACATCAGTTTGCCATCTCATTGAAACATGTTTACTTTCTTCGAAACTGCGCATACCGTCTTGAGTACAAGTGATTGGTCGACAAGCCGATAAAGGGAGGTAACAGATGCCTGTCTAAATTGTTCAGTCGGAACATCCGTCTTGTTACACAAATTGTCTGTCTGAATCAGAATGGTGCGTATAATGTACATGATATTTAGCGCGTAGTTTAGTTGTTAGAACAAGGAGGAAATGTATTTTGAATCCGTATTAGGAAAACAATTTACAATTGGGACTATACTATTAGGTGGAAGTAAAATTGTTGGAAAACACAGACTTCCGCTGATTTCCAAACGACGTGCCTCAGACCATCTACTCAAATGCGAGGATTCAAGGGGATTAACCCTCGCTGTCAACAACGTTTTCTTCTTGGCCCCTTTCTGGTCAGAAGCCCAGTTTGCTGGATCGCTGGCGCTAATTGGCTTCTGGTGATTACGCGGGCTAATTAAAATGGTGCCGGCTAGACGACTGACAGTTGTAGTGTTGTTTTCCTTTAAACAATGATAACAACTTCTTTATTATACACACAATGTTTCAGGGCAACTTTTTGCCCCATCATACAGGAACATGACATACAAACTAATGAAGTCAATTATAACTAGATATGTGTACGTGAAGCCAGCTGGGACAAGACTAGCGTTCTACAGTTAAGAGGGAGTAGATTGACATGACTGTTGTAACAGGAGAATTACTACAAGGTCATTTTATGTACAAGAGATCGAAAATGTATACAACTTATAAAACAGATTAAATGAGTTGATAGACAATGATAAGAGTTGATTATACAGTGAAAGTAAAATGATATTTATCATGCCCTGGAGCAGAAACATTAAGGGTATTTAAGTGCAAATACAGGTCAGCATTCAAACTATCATGTGTAACATATTTGTTGAGCACCACTCTAAACTACAGATATACCACATATTATTTCATTTTTTTAAATAAATATCTGAGTAATGACCTTTAACAAGTTCACCATATGGGTACAATGTTAGCCATATTGAAAATCTGATTCAAACCTTTTGGAAATATTCAGGTCCTGATTGGAGGGAACAAGCATGCCCTACAGGTTACAGACATTGCTAGTTCATGTATTGTGAGTAGTCAAAAGTCATATTGTATCGCTTCAGGTGAATGAATAAAACATAACAAACATGGTTCATGAAATATGAAATTTGTGATGAAATATCACTAGAGTAAACACACATGATTTTCCATTTCAATTGTGTTTCTTGTTATGCTAGGCATTATTTAATGTGCAGAGATTAAGATTTCTGTATGTTTTTGTCTTGTCAACTAAACCGGCAATAGCTATCAGCTGTACACATGTTCTCCCAAATCTACTGGTGATTTAGTTACAAAATACCCCAAAACATAACTTAAAAGAATTTTTATACAATGATTGGAAGAAATTATATCAGAAACTATTATTTTACCCGAAATAATACATTCAGATCTTGTTTTTTAGCAGTAATTTCAATGTTTCTGATATATATTTCTAATAATAATAATCGTACACAGTGCACTTTGTTATACATTTTCGATGGTTAAAACAATATGTTGACATATAATAGTCAACTACAAGAAATACAACATTTAACAAGTCTAAGTATGGCATTTATGCCATTCTCTGACAACTAGGTTCATTTCAAGGCATCAATAGCGGTAATCTGATTGTGGTTGCTGAAAATAACAGTTAGTGTGAACTGCCAATCTCATGGATTTCGGCAAAATCAATGTAAACGATATTGAGCATGTTGAAAGAAATTTTGAATAAATTTCATAAAATAGATTACAAGCATAAGTCCAGATGAATACATTATAGCCAGCTTGTGTAATATTTGGATTAACTGTGTGTACTTCTGTAGGTTCTACTACACCAAATCAGAACCAGTTGGGACAGTGCGGTTTTCGTAGGGAGCCCTCAGTGCAGATCGAGAGATATCTGCAGGCTGTGATTGGAGGCTATTCTGTAAGATTTTTATGTCTTTCAAATGTACATCCATCCAGTTATTAAAACTGACCATGTTTTTCTATATTTAGTACTGTCTTTTTCAACATGATAACTTATGCTGAATGTGACCACAGCTATTTTCAAGTAGGTGACATTTGGTGCGAAACTGGGGGTGGTGTGTTTAGCTTCCTGTACTCGGAAAAAGAGCTGGCTAAGCTAGTCATTTTTTTATGTTTTTATTGCTGCTCTAAGGCCAAACTGTGCACACACGTACAGGTAATAGCTGTTTAATGCTCAGTTATTTTTAAAAAAAATATAACGTTACTATAGAAGTCTATGGGAAAACATTTGGTTGTGTGTAACCTGTAGGGGAGTGCACATTTCAGTAATTCATACTTTACATGATTTCCTGTTTATATTTCACCTTGGATACACCATGGAGGCAAATTTAAAAATAATGACAGTGAAGTTGGGGACATTTTGGGTTGAATGGAGCATTTGGATGGCCTGGAAATGAATGTGGCTTTGTATTGTGGTCGAAATCAGCACGAACCCCCCAGGGTACCTCTGTCCATCAAGCCCTCCTCCTGCCTTCTGAATTTGACAACAAACTGGGATAAAGTCACCACTGCCACAACAATTTCTGCCTTGTGTCAATCGCTTGCCGGTCAAGTTACGCAATGCCATTATCTTGAGTTGGAAGCATGTACACTGCTGACAGCAGAATATGTCACAAACCCCCTTATTTATAGTCAACAATGTAGCATACCAATATATCTTTGTTAGGTGCTTTTGTGTGAATTAATGATGCTATTTTTCTATTAAGTTTCTTAAAACAGACTTATTTTTCACTCATATGACTTTCAAATTATTATTTTGTCCCCTCAAAAACTGACTCCTGGCTGTTATATCCAAACTGGTTTGCCATTTGATATTGTCTGAACACTTTTTTCAGCTTGTAGCATGCCTGATGTTGACTGGGGAGGTATATGTGTACTCATGCAGAAGAAGTAGAAGTTTTCACATCCAATTTGGCATTTGGAGAAGCTGATCTGAAGTCCGGTGTTGGCAGTGTGTGATCGACAACCCTTGTTTTGCCTCGCTGCGCTCTATTACCTTGTAGAAGTTGTGGAACTTGGACATGTAGGTACATTAAGTACATTTAAGAACCCCAGTCCACTTGAGGCCCCTCTGTTGCTCACTATCAAGTGCCATAATAAGATCACCCTCATGCACTAGAAATTTCTGACAGTGCTCCCTTAATGCCTCACTGTGCAGTTTTTCAGTTTGCAAACATGAAGTAAGGGCTATACACCAGCCCCAGAACCTGCTTAGATGAAAATAATACCCACTGGCTCTTTTGGAATGTAACATTATGGATCTGAAATCATCTGTTAAGAATGTGATAGTGTTCGACAATACTAAATTATCTCCCCTGTTTAGTAAAATGCATTGTTCTTTCATTCCCCTATAAACCCATAAATTATTTGAGAGAAACACTATTTTAAGCTGGTATTGCATGACACTGTTAATTGTGAATAAAAAGAATTACATTTATGTCAGAATAAGCTGTACATTTTCAAAATTATATGGAATTTTAACTTTGTTTCATTGAAACTGGCAAATAACTGAAATTAGCAAGTTTAGCCACCTTGAAACATTTAACAGTAAGTATGTTTGATGTCCTGTGAGTATTTTAAAGTCTTAACTAAATAAATCAATAGAGTTAAGTGTAATTTCCTTCCATGTTGTGGTTTCAAAGAGCTTTCTTCTACTTAAGGGTCCATTTCCATTTCTCGGCTTTAATAGGCGGTATGGTTCAGTAGTCAGCGTTTGAGATTGCTGGCAACAATGCACCCCTTTACTTCCTATTTTCTTGTAAAGTTCATTATCCAGCCTTACATATATGATGACTTTAAAGCTGCTTAATGTGTCCCTTGCTTATTGTTGGCCTGAATTCCATGCTCTCTGTCCAATTTTGATTTTTTTTCTGATTCCTTTCCGAGTGTACTTATGTCACCAGCCTATATCATAGGTGATTATACTTTTGATTTTTGGAGTAAATGAAAGCACAAACATTTGTGATAACCCCTCCATAGATGATTTACCAAATGCTGACAGCCATTTGAGTGTTTAATTATATAAACAATGGATGGTGTAAGTTCGAGCAATCTCAAACAATATCAATCGCATCATGTCAT